TAAAGGATAAAAGTGCAAAAGGGCACTGTGCAACCTGCTCTCTCCACAGAGTTCAGCTGTGTAAAGAACACAGAATGAAACGATTCAAGGACATGTAATATTCGTTGAGTGCAACATGAAACAGTCGTTATGCTTCGTGCATGTGCACAAGTCACATGGCCAAACTTTCCACAAAACTTTCACGACAACGCAACTAACAAAATCAGTCCGAATGACGAATTTCTGACATGACTTGGAGCCCACACCTGGCCCACACATACTGAAAGGCAAATCTGTCAATGTGAAAAGACCAGAACTGTGCATAACGATAAACGAACGATAAAAGTTGCAAAAAGTTTATGACAAAAGTGAACTTACCTTCTGACAGAACAAACTCCTGCTAGAGTGAGGCGGATTGTCACATACGCCAAGGCGAAGTACGTCGCGTAAGCATACAAGAATACGTTCATGTCTGGTACAAACTAATAGACTAAAACCTGTTGTTGTAGACTAATATTGATGAGGATACGATTAATTTATGATTTTGACCATTAACAACCACTTGGGCGACTCTACACAGAAAATACAACAAATAATGCCGGGACTATGTTGAACGAGTAGGAACACTTGAGGTTTATGGCGAAGTGCGTGGTGTGGAAACCTGAGAGAACCCTAGACTTGACAAAGTCTGACCACCACAGAAACATTGCAACGGTGAACCATGAAAAAAGAAAGAAAAAGGATGTGAGTGACTCTCCCTTTTTCAGTTGAGTACGCGCTCCCTATTAGGATTAGGCGGACTTTTTAGAGACAATCCTAGACAAATCTCGTTGTAACATGCCTTCCTGCTCGCTCCCGTCAATGTTGTTTCTCACTGGGTAAGCTGGGCCGAATCTGGTCCAATAAATGACCGCAACATTAAATGGGTGAGAGGGGGGATTTCTTCTTCGCGCTTCCTACAAGGTGTTAAGACTATTTTGTCCAGGATTGTAGCTTCTGCTGGCGGGATAAATTCTATGCAGCCCCCAGAATATCAGAATCTGCTAACCTTGTACAAGGATGGCCAAATCCATAACACAGGCCAGGTGTAGACAGGATCCTCTGTCAATGTGATAAAGGACAAGCACAAAACCATGGCAAGAAACGAGAATTTGAGAAGTCACCCATTATTAAGCACTCCCACACCAGATCACAAGGCTAGAAAAATGGGATCACTAGGCACCTTAGCTATAACTGGCAAGATGAAAGTTTTAGTGAGGAAAAGGAAAGTAAAGGAATAGTTGAAATGTCTTTTGGGAAAAATGCTTTATGTACTGCATCATTGGTGGTCATAATTTGACATACG